ACATTTAAAATGATTTTCAAAGATTTGTACAAATCTTTTTACTCAAAACAATCGCTTTAAATGTAAGAATTGAAGTTTTTTAATGAAGACAACGAACTCCTGGGTGCCACAAAAACAATCCAATTGACGGCTAACAACAACAATAAACCCGGACACACACACCACACACCCACACACCATCCATAAACCTGCCTGCGCCGCACTTGTTGGTTTTTCACGACCCCAAAAAGTATGCTAAAAAAAATCAGGCGCATAATGAAGCTGCTCATAAACGAAGTGTCTCCGCTTGCTGCTGCTGTGTGCGGGTGTGTGAAATGTTTACTTGCACCCGCGAGTGCACACCACACCCACACCCCCATGCTGTGGCTCCAAGGAGCCATTGTTCGCCATCTCGCATCACATAAAAAACACTTAAAACGCCGTTAAGTTAAAATAATAAAGTTAAGCGGCCGCCGGGCAGCAACAAAATCTAATGTGACAATGGCTACAGCAACAACAACAACAACAAAAAAAGTTGCAACAATTGCTGACATATTTCACAATGTGCAACAAAAGCAGGGAAAGGTGAGAGGAGGTGGCAAAAAACTAAGCCAGCACAAAAGCACTGAAGGTACACGAGGGCATGGAAGGCTGGGAAAGAATGGAAAAAAGACACCGAATGTTGGGCATATTTTGCATTGTTGCTTACACACTCACACGCACAACAAGCCCACACACAAACACACAGACGACGAAGGGGGAAGAGAAAGGGAAAAGTGGTAAGCCTTTCCTTTGGGCCTCCTTTCGGTGGCCTTTTGTTTCAATTGTCTGTAGTTTAGGTTTTAGGCGTGCGAGCCTCGTTATAGGTAACTGTAACTGTAACTGGTAAGTGTCCTGTGTGTACCCAAAGTGTGTGTGTGTGTGTGTGTGAGTGTGTGCTGTGTGTTCGCCGGGTGTCCTTTGCGAAACAATAAAGGACTGTCAACATATGCGCGAGCCACGCCACCCGTGCACGCGTCTCTGGAATGGCGTGCGAATTATTGCCCAGGAAGATATGACATTAAATTTAATGAAATGTTCAGAAAATGCTAAAATCCATGTACTCCAACGGTGTCCAAGACTGTGTTTTTGCAAATGTAGGGCGTAAAATCGAATTCGTATGGAAAATAAAGCTTTTAACTTGAGTCAGCCTAGATTTGTGGCAAGTTTTGTACTTAAATTTAAAGAATAAATATTACCATATACTCTAAACGAAATGGTATATGAATATATTTCGATTTTATGTGTGTTTTTGTGAAGGAACAATGAATGTTTGGAATAGATGAAAAGAGATCTTAATGAAATATAAAATAATTTTAACACATTTGACTTTTATGGATACTAAAAAACACATTTGGTGTAAACAATTTAAATATTACTTTTACCAAGATTCTTTAAAAGAATCTCAACTAAGATTTCTAAAAAAAACACACAGAGACACATCGATATATGAATATTATAAAACACAACATCGATATGAAGAAAAACACTTGGTTAAAGACACAACATGCGACACCAAAAACAGACTAGATCGGTGGCTATTTCAAGTTGGTAAGACGCAAATATGTATGTAAATATGCTCAAAAACCTCGTGGCCAAGTTGCCAGATCTAGTTTCTTAAATAAATTTCATTTAAAAGGAAAATTATACAATAATTTACTATTTAGGTTGGTAATTACATACTGTTTTAGTAGTCAAAGTTAGTCATGATCTAGTAATATCTTTCTCCTGAACTCTACCAACTTTAAATAGCCACCGAAGATAAGGACATGGTACAACCTTTTGCCGTTTTCACTCATTTTCGCCAAGGACCTCACCAAGAAGCCACGAGAGCGCATACTTACTGACACTGAGCGGCATGAGGGCGCTCTGCAAGTGACTGAAGATCTGCCGGTGGTGGTGATGGTGGTGGCCACCCAAGCTGGCGCCGCTGAAGTACAGGTGGTTCTGGTGCAGCGACAACTGCTGGTGATGATGGTGGTGGTGATGATGGTGGTGCTGTTGCTGCTGCTGCTGGAGCTGCTGCTGCTGTTGCAAATGGTGATGTTGCTGCTGCTGCACCACCGAATGCTGCTGATGGGCCATCAGTTGCTGTTGTTGCTGCTGCTGGTGTTGCTGATGAGTTAGATGCTGCTGCTGCTGCTGGAGATGTTGTTGCTGCTGCTGAGAGTGTTGCTGCTGCTGCTGCGAGTGCTGCTGACCGTAGGCTGCATGTTGCTGCGGTACTGCTGCTGCTGTAGCTGCTGCCGTCGGCAGGGCAACAGCTGCTGCTGCTGCTGCCGCTGCTGCGGATGCTGTGGCCGCCGCCGCCGCTGCCGATGCAGTTGCAGTTGCCGCTGCCGCTGCCGTCGCTGTGGCCGTGGCTAGAATGTGATGATGGGTGGTGGTTGAGGATCGATGCTGGCTCTGGACCGTATTGAGGCTGTGAATGGAGGCGTGCACCGCCGACTGATAGATAATACCGTTGTTCGACATGGCCGTCATCGACTGGTGGTGGGCATAGGCAGCCATCGTTGGCTGGACCTGGACACCCATTGTGGGCTGAACAGCCGCTGTGGCGGCCACAGGAGCCAGGGGCAGGGATCTGTAGCCAGCCATAGAGCTGGTGTATCTTTCACTGATCACCGATCACTGATCACCAAGTCACTTGTTCTCAACCCGATTGTATCGTTAGCTTTTCCGCCTGGAGCGTCTTTTCGCCTGGCGCTACGAGAGTGGACTGAATGGACCGCGACCGGGGCGGATTATTTCCTACAATTCGTTCGTTAAATTTGTAAGTTGAATTATTTTGTTCTCAGCCATAAATTAGTGCGGGGGAAGAGTAGATTTTAGGCTTAGTTCGGGTTGATAATGTCACTCCGTGACGCTGATAAGGTCCGCCGCTTATCTGGACAGCTTCTTCTCCGCTCGAGTCGTGTGTCAACAGAAAATCTCAGCCACACAAATTTCACAAATTTCCTGGACAATCCAAACGACTAACTCGACTAACTAACTTGGCAAATGTTGAAATATTTATTAATGTAACATATTGTGGTTAGCTGTGATCGCAGGTATTACACGGAAACTGAACCTTGAACTAGAGTTCAACAGCAAATGCGTTGCCCAAGTGGCTGGTTAATTTCAGAAAAATATTATATATATATTTATCCGACTTATCAGCTGACAGCTGCCAGCTAAAAACTAGACTTAGATAAGAGTCTCTCCAGTCTCGTGTCCCTAAACAATGTATAAGAATTTCGTGAATCACAAATGCCGGGGAACATCAAAACAATGAACGAACTTATCTTAAGGCTGCCTTAAAGTATTTACACTAGGACACCAATTAACAACATCGATCAACCAATAAAAACGACAACCAATAAAATTAAAACGCACATTAAACACACAGATATACATATATATATTTAAATAGTACTCCAGGTCTTAAGTACACCAATTTAAATTGACGACACAACATCGAGAGGAACAACAAACAACAAGAACGGAAGGCAAACAACAAACAGAGTGTCGCTGGGACTTGGGAAAAGTGTAAACAAATTACATAAACAAATTGAGGCAAAATGGCAAGATTCTGCGATTAAATCATGTTTGCCAGATCAACCAATCCGTGGATAAATATTGAAGCAGCCATCTCCTCCGGCTTCACGTAAGCCAGCCTCTACCGCAGCGGGATACGTAAAAACGGTACGTAACGCGATGGCTTTTCAACGCAGGCCTTGGTGGAAAGCCACGTCCGACACGCTTGGCCAAGGTCTGAGAACTGAAAACTGAAAGCTGAAAGCTAACAGCGGCAAGCGGCAAGCTGGCAAGGACACTCGGCTTTGGGGAACGACAGGATCCGAGCCGAGTTCGGGCCGAGTTATTGCATTTGTGCCCGGATTCGTCGGTTGCCAGCAGCCTGGGCTCTAAGCAAGTGCGAGCGAGAACGAGAGCAGCTACTGCTACCAGGTTCAGGGAGATGATGGATAATGGCAGTGGAAAGGCAAGCCTCCTCCACAAACTACTACTTATAGTTATCTAGGTGGGTGAGGTTGGTTTCTTTAAAGCAGAAATAAGACGCAAGGATAAGTGTACTTTCTTACATTCAGTTACATTTTCTATATATAATATATAGCCAAGTTTTTGGGCCCAACTTAATCCATCTCGTAGCCATAAAGTCCTACAGACATTAGCCTAATTTCTTTAGAAATGCCAAAGCAAGAACTGTGTGTGGGTTGGTCGGCAACAGCACCTACACTGGCACACACATCCACCCACACACACAGCCTAGTTTCTATTGCACAACACCATAAGTCTGTGTGTGTTTTTGATAATATTTAGGGGTTGTTCCCGACCATTAGAGACCTGCGCAATAGATCAAACCCCTGCCACCTAAAACTGGGAGGCTCGTCCTCGTGTCGTCAGCTTCGTCGGCTCCTCTTGGTCCTACCCCAAAAAACAAAAAGCTAGTGAAACCAAAACAATAACAAAGTCCAGCAGAGACAGGGATGGGGAGCCTGCCTGCACGTGGCTGAAAAACCCTTGGACACCTTACACCTTTCGGGGGCATTCAAGTCCTTGTAGCTGTGCTGGAATTTTTAATCAAAACCGAAGCGCAACTATGCAACACGGACACGGATGCCCTCATGCCACAAAATATATATTTTAATATAATAAATACACACTGTTTAGGTAAATGTTAATAATTGGGTTATTGATGGCAAATTCCAGGCAGAAATTTCGAGATTACTAAAAATAGATTAATAGTGTGGGTCATCCGCAAAATATTGTGGAAATATTTTATGAGCTATTTTTACATTCAGTTATTTAGATAATTATTTTGATATTAATATATAGTTGCCTGAAAATAAATCAAGCAGAGCAAAAGCCTATAACAGATAAATCAATTATTTTTCGTGAATTTTTCCAACAGAAAATAAGAGATGATTAGAGATTATAGTAACTGTATAGTTAGTTTTAGGTTAATTTTCGAGTTGAGAGCCATGCGGGCAGTATACTTTTTCAGCCTATTTCTGATTACCACCTTGGTGGTGGTGGATGGAAAGTTCAAGAGTCTTTTCTGTACCTGTTACGATCCTGATTTTGGAGAATTTCCACTGTGTAGAATCAAGGCCATTAATAGGTACAGGAACTCGATTGGCATTACCTTCTTGCAGAAACAGAGAACAGAAGGCGGTACGGTAAGTAATATATAACAAAAACGTTATATTTTAATATAGATTTAATAATTTAATAATTAAATTCCAACAGGTTCGATTGGAGCTTTTCAACAGGGCCAATGGCTGGCGGCCCTTTCTGTACAACATTTCCGCTAACATCTGCGATGTGTTGGACAAAAACAATAATATAATCATGGCAATAGGCTTGGCCTACCTGAGACCATATTTAGGCCCCAGTGCGGGTTGCCCTTTCAAGGTGACACATTATATACACATAACTTTTACAAAACCTATCTAAAATATTGGAATATTCTCAGGCTAACGACACGTTCAAGTGTGTGGATCTTGAGTTCGAGTTTGATCATTTTCGAACTCGTTTTCCCATCGAGACTGGGGAATATGCATTGAAACTGAGTTTTTACTACCGTAAAACCCTTAAACTTTCCATAAACGGTTCGGCAGAGTACTCCAACTACAGAGAACATTAAATCGACAAATCAACTGGCATAAAATCGCAACAACTATCTCTTGAACCTGGGATTTTCCTACCTGGAACCATACCTAAAAGAAAACTACACCTGCCCCTTGAAGGTAGTAATTAGATTTCAAAGTGTTGAAGATATGGCAATACAAAATCGGTGTTTATTTTACAGGCCAATGACACAATTGAGTGTGAAAATTTGGAGCTGGATTTTGAAAAATTCCGTACTCGTTTCCCCGTCGAGACAGGAGAATATGGTCTGAGGCTGAGCTTTTATTATAGCGGAAATGCCGTGCTCTCTATAAACGGCTCAGCGAAGTATTCCGACTACAGGGAACATTAGATCAAGTTAATATCCTTAATGGTTGATTAATCAGGATTCTTATATAAATAAAATGTTGTCATTAAAATAAAATAACCACAGAGTTCAGCAACAAGTTAAAAATAAAAAGTAATCGTGAACCGTTAGGGAACAAATTAAGGTGCAGCATTTCTGGAGTTTGAGCTTAAAAATCTGGACCATCCTCTAGCTGGCCTAAGTCAAATCAAGGAGTTTATATTAGATATATTAAATATATAAGATATTAAGGGACGTATAATACTCGAAAGTATAACAGTAGGTTTTTCTTTTAATAACAAATTTGAGCTAGCTTTTTGAACCCTAAAATATTAAGAGAACTGAAGAAACATCCGTAACACTCGTCGTATAACAATAAGTTTATATAAATAAATAAATGACCGTCCAAAGAGCCACCGTAAACTTTTACTTAACTGCATTTTAAGTGTTATACAAATTTAAATCGAAAAAATATACACTTTTGGTTGGTGTGTTTTTCAAACAAAAATGGTTATTTAATGATTGCAGTTTAATTATAATTTGATTGAAGCTATAAATTTCTTCATTTGGCTTCATTTTGTTTAGTTTTCTAAGCCAAAGCCATGTGGGCAGTGTTCTTGTTAGCGCTTTTCCTGATGACCACCGTCGGTCATAAGGTGGAGAGCAAGTTCAAAAGTCTTCACTGTAACATTTACGATCCGAGTATTGGCGAGTTTCCACTTTGCAGAATCAAAGCTCTGAATCGCTACAAGAACACTATAAGCGTTACCTTCCGATCGAAAAAGCACCAAGAAAAGATAATGGCAAGTTTTAAAGAAAAATATAAAGCAAGAATTTGAATATATGGTATATATGCAATCGAAGCAGGTTCGATTGGAGGCTTTGAAAAGAGTCAACGGATGGCGACCATTTCTATATAACATCACATTCGACTTGTGCAACTTTATGGAGAAGCGGAACAACTTTTACGTGAACTTGGCCTTTTCATACCTGGAACCGTACCTTAAGCTGAACTATTCTTGCCCTTTAAAGGTGAATACATATTCAATTAATGCATAAATTTCACTAAAAACTATGTGTTTGATTCACAGGTCAATGATATAATTAAGTGTGAAAAATTGCAATTTGACATGGAGAAAATACGTGCTCGATTTCCCGTCGAGACGGGAGAATATGGCTTGAGGATGGGCTTTTATTACAAAGGCGGCATCAAGGTCTCTATATGTAAATGGTTCAGTGCAGTACTCTAATTACAGGGATCATTAGATCCAGTTTTCTAAGGATTGCCTAGGTGTAACTTCAATATAATTTTGATCTTCAAATAGTCAGGCACTCTAGAGAAATGTATCTGCAAGCACCAATTATAAAATAAAAAAATATATGTATATATAAAGTTTGTTTAGCAATAATTGAGCAATTAAATGTATTATGGTTAATTTCTGACTAGTCCTGCAATATTCGGTTTCAGTTCATTAAATATGAGTTCAAAGCTCATTCACCAACTTAATTGCAAGTCAAATAGTATTCGCTTGAATTAAACATACTAGAAAAGTATATATTTAATTTTGATATATGATATTTGCATATTAACACTACCTTTAGTCCTCTCTCCTCATAAAATGTACTTCCTTGTAAAACACTTTAAATGTAAAAGACTAATTTAATTTCCCAGCATACCATTATTGTTTTAATTTTATAGACTTTGGGTTTTTAAAAATTAAAATTGCCTTAAATTGTTCTATTCTCCAAGCAATTTAACACTTTGATTGGGAACAATTAAAGTGGATACATCACCTGGTTTAGCTTGCCTTATATTTGCACCTATAATTTGCTGATCAATTCAGTTCTGTTTTTGCCATCCAGAAGCCATGTTAGCCGTGGTCATCTTTGGCGTAGTCCTGTTGTCCTCAGTGCAAGTGGAGACCAAGTTCAAGAGTCTACACTGCACCAACTACAACAAAACCCTGGGCGAAATTAAACTATGCAAAATCAAGGCCATCAACCGATATAGAAACTCGATTAGTATTCAGTTTAGGCAAAAGACAACTGTCCATAATGTGAATGTCAGTGAATTTATATATTATATAAAGTGTAAAAAAATATTATCTTACAAACAATTCAAAAAGAAGAAGGATATTTAGCATAAACAGTCGAGTCTGTTTAAAAATTCGATACAATTTATTTTCCAAAATTTTAAAACAAATATTAAATTAAAATGTTTTTGTTCTTCTTTAAATATTCTCCAAAGATAGTTTTCTAAATTATAAGCGGGTGAACCCTTAGCTCGATAAGTGCTGGATATTTTAATGGTCGGGGCACTCGACTGTATCCGTCTCGTTACTTTTTTGTTTCAAATTGAATAATTTTTGTATATTTTAAATCCATAGATGCGTCTTGAGTTATTCAAACGAGCCAATGGCTGGCGTCCTTTTCTCTACAATATATCATTTAATTTGTGTGATTTTCTATCAAAAAGAAACAACATGATCGTGCGACTTGGCTATGAGTATATTAAGCCCTATATACCCATTACCAACTACACCTGCCCTTTTAAGGTATATAAAGGTTTAGTTTGTATAAATATTTTTGATAATCTCCATATTTCTGTATTCTTAGAAAGGACACTTGATAAAAGTAACGGATCTGGAGTTTGATATTGAAAAATTTCGCATTCGTTTCCCCATAGAAACGGGCGAGTACGCTATTCAGCTGAGCTTCATAGTAGCGAGAATTGTGACCTTGACACTGAATGGATCTGCGGAATACTACAATTATCGAGAGCACTAGCAGCGAGTGATATATGATTTAAAGTTTATAATGATCAGTACTAACTTGTAATCATTATAATTATTAAATTGATATCAATAAAATTATAAATGTGAACATAAATTCAAAGTCTATTTTAAAATCAAACTTATGATAGTTTTTATATTTAAAAAAAATTATTTCTATTTCTTTTTTCTATATATTATAAAAATAAAAATAAAATCAAACACCTAAAGAGTTTTTAATACACTTTTAATTAGTTGAATTTATTGAAAATCACAAATCACATCACAATGAAATGTGATTTTAATGGCAAGCCACAAGCAAATTTTCACAATATGTTGGACATTTTATAAATCGGTGGCCAAAGACCATGTTGTGTCTGCTTATATTTTGCCTTATGGCAAACCTAATGCAGGTGGAATGCAAGTTCAAGAGTCTCTACTGTACCATTTATGATCATGATTATGGAGAGTTTTCAGTGTGCAAACTGAAACCTATAAATCGGTACAGGAACTCAATCAGCGTTTACTTCCGCCAGAAGCAGCCTGTCGAGAAAGTTATGGTATATATACTATCGATCAGAGTGATGTTTATTTGCGTATATGGATATCGCCAACAGGTGCGAATGGAGATTCTCAAGCGAGCCAATGGCTGGAGGCCTTTTCTATACAACCTTTCAGTTGACTTGTGCGACTTCATGAACAGGCGCAGCAATTTTATTATGGCCATTGGCCATGCCTACCTGCATCCCATACTTAAAATTTGACTACAGTTGCCCCATAAAGGTAATATTTATTTTAAAGTTTAATTATTCTTACTCCTATTTATTAGCAGGCCAATGATTCGGTTAGGTGTGACAACTTTGAGTTCGATGTGGATCAATTCCGCATTCGTTTTCCCTTCGAGACAGGTGAATATGGCTTGAGGCTGGGCTTTTACTATAGGAAAATTCTCAAAGTTGCTATTAACGGTTCGTTGGAGTACAAAAACTACAAAGAACATTGAGTCAGGAATTTAAGAAACTCTGATATGAAACTCTCTTGTATAGGGGAAGATATTCTAACCAAAATAATATTAAATTATATGTTTTTAAAAGGGTATTTAAAGGAATATGAATAAAGTGATAATAGTGTAAAATTCAATGTTTTTAATGTCTGAGGATTAGAAACCAGAGCTACATATATAATTATAACAAAAACTTGTAGGTATTATATTATAGAAGAAAACACTGATTGTTAAAAAGGAAATTTAAGGTGATTAAGCTTGCCATAACCTTCCTAATGAGGGAAAACTGTCTAAAAAGCTCCTTTTAAACTTTCTATATAGTTATATTTAGTTGTTAAAATATTTTAGTAAGAAAAATATATATCTAAAACCTGGTTCAACATTGAAATATGTCATACAAAGTTGATGTCACCAAACTGTAATTAAGTCGCAAACACTTCGCTTGAATGGGCATACATAAAAAAAAAAGCTAAACAAAATTGTTTCGGTAAATATGTGGAATGTGTGATTAGAGTTCTAAAATGAAATGCGGCACAAATGGCCAAAGCAAATCAGGGCAGAGCAAACACGGCCTGAAAAATTGGGTAAAAGGCCAAAAGAAGTACAAGCCAGCCGCCAGGACTTTGACACAATAATCAAACGAAGTGTCCTTTGTATGTGAGCGCTGCCTGGTTTGCAAAAGGGGAAAACAAGTGAAAAGCAAGGGCTGGCAAAAGTGGGCGTGGCAGCGTCAAATTAGGCACAGTGTTATCTAATTAGCCACCTACAGGAGGAGATAGTACCTTTCTCGTTTTCCCACTGACACTATGGGTGTGTTTGTGTGTGTGTGTGAAGTGGTGCCAGGCGCCGGCCATCATATTTTGCAATTTAACTCACACGAAAAGATTTTCCTTTCCTTTGTTTTTTCGCCAATTTTTTTCACTCACTTCTCTGGCACTAGCCCTGGCTTTTTTCCTGATTTTTCTTTCTATTTTTTTGGACGCGCTCAAGTTTCATAACAACGGAAATGCAAAAGTTTTGTGCAAAACAAAGCGCCAACTTTTTTATTTCTCTTGGCAATTATGTGCTCAAGGAGAGAGACAGAGCCTGGCCCGGGGAAGGAGATAGGGAAACGGACTCAAATAATGATAATGAAGCACACAAGGAAGGCTCTCACTCGGCCCAAAAGCATTTTTGAAGAAGAAAAATGCCCAAAAAAGTTGTAATGCTTTTTTCTACAATTTTCATACCCATGATAGTTTTTTTTTTTTGTTCTCTCTTGACGGGTCTTGCATGCAAAAGTATCTCATAGATCCACACACATGTGTGTGGGGGTAATTTGTTTAATTTGCTTGCCTTTCGGCTGGAAATAAAAAAGAAAGCACAACTGATAGAAGACCTCACCGAAAGGCAAATTTCGTGGCTTTATTTCACTCAACTTTTTATTTTTATTTATTTTATTTATTTCTTTTTTTACTTCTTTTTGAAGGTTGGCCGCCTTTTAGCTAATGGCCCTGGCAAATATGATAGGGATAACACAGAGAAAAACAAAAACAACACCGAAAGGGTGCCGAAAAACTAAAGTCAAACTAAATTAAAATATTTTTAAATTCGAAGCTACTAGCTGGCAAAAGTTTTATCAATAAAATGCAAGCGGGCAAAGTCGTCTGTTCGACGAGGTCTATTTGCTCGCTTTGCTTTAGCATTTGTTTAACTGCAAATCAGATAGAGATCTCTTCCAAATGTCTGCATTTAGCACACACACTCTCTATGGGTGTAAGTGTGTGTGTGTCCATATGGGAGTGTGCCGGCAATTGAAACATCAGCAATACTTGAGCTTTGCAATATGCGCCTTGGAGAGCTCAACAGCTCAACACCCCCACAGAACAGACAGCAACGAGATGTTGCCCGGCCATAACTCGACTCGAATCTGGCTTAAAAATCACTTAGACTCTTCTCGCCTCGTTTTGGCCTGTCAGCAGAATCCCAGGCGCCAAGACGACACTCATGTATCGAGTGCAATAATCAACACTACTCCTGCTCCTCCTCCGGCTGCCTCACTCTTTCGATTCTTTTTTCTGTGAACCTAAGCACATTGTCCCAGGGTCCCCGGGCGTTGCTCGCCAATCGTTTTCGAGAGTTGTCCACTTGCCTAATCTGCACTTGAATCTCGTGAGGAATGTTTGCCGGAACATTTATTACCAGCTGCCAAAATGCGTGGGCAGGGCCACAAGATAGTTCAAGTGCCTTAAATTATTTGTAATCGGTGGATTATAAGTGCCTTAAAATTCTATCAAAAGGAAAAGTTCAATTTTAGTTCAAATATTTTGTCTATATGAGCAAGATAGGTGATATATACATATATCATGAGCGAGACATTTGTGTCGATATATAAATCACAAAAATAAGATAAATAATATTTATATTTAAAAGATAAACGAAATTTTTCGATATTTAAATTTCGATATATTCGCTCATATAGACCAAAATTAAAATTTATCGAATTTTAAATATCGATTTTTTCGATTAGTTTACCGATATTTAACTCTAATCTAATTTTGTTAGTATTTTTTTACTATTATAGTGGTCCAAAATATTAAAGACAATATCGATTTATAGCACTTATATCGCTGTAAAAAGATCGATTTAAATATTCGATTTATAAATAAGCAATAACAAAAACAATAAAAAATGTGTTCCTTTAAAATATGCATAGAAAATAGTTCACCAAAATATAACTTATAAAATATTAAAATAATTACTTTTTCAACCTATTAAGATATATTAATGTTACAAATTTTCCACCACTTTCAAACCAACAAATGTTGTATAAATAACAAATCCCTATAAAATACAAATCCCCAAAGTTAACTTGTAACTCTCAATTGCCACAAATTGGTATCGTTGAGAGTCCTGAGCACTTTATGCCCAAACGAATTGATTTGTTTTCCGCTTTTCTTCTTGGAAATCATTGAGTCAGTCGCCACTTGCCGAAGCTCGTGAAAACTTGCCAATAACTTGGCAGAGTAACTTGTTACTCAGCACACACAGCGCTAATGAAGACGGTCCACACACACACAGAGACACCCCACCTCCCTCTTTGCGCTGGCAAAAAGCAAAACACCGTACACCAGGGAACGAACTAGGAAGCGCTCCCAGACATTTCGGGTGTGAAAATCAATGGGCAATAGCCATTCACAGCTGAGTGCAGCCGGCGAGCCCTGGGGGGCGGTCGAAGACGCTTCTCGATTTAATTGAATAATTGTTAGGCATGCCACGTACTTCGAATTCTTGGTAAATCAGCGAAATTCCGACTCTTGAAACTAAACACAGAAATAGGAAGCCAACCCGAAATCAGCCTCAAAATAGGCAACACAAAAACGAGGCAATACAAAGCAAAGGCAAGCCTAGGCGAATCTTTCGCCCCGGAGACTGCGTCAGGCTTTGTTTTCCGGTCCCGATGCAAATGCACCTGCAACAGCAGCAGGAACACCTGCTGGAAACCCCCTATCCTATCAATTTATGCGCCGCATTTGAAATTCGGTGCTATGAAATCCTCGAGACTTACCGTTCCCAAGTGGCACATTCGTTGTCGATTGTTGCTGCTGCTGCTGCTCGGACGTCACCGCGTTGGACAATTTATTTGATGTTGTCGTGGCTGTCGTTGCCGTGGCTGTGGTGGCCATTGTGGCCTCCAGCTTGCTGCTGCCTCCGTTAATGGCCAGTGTGGTGGCGCTTTTACCTAACCTCAGTATGGTGGTGGCCGTCGATGATGATGGCGCGTTGACCGCTGTTACTCCCGTGCCCGCTGCTGTGGTGGCCGCCGCCGCTGCATTGAGCTTGTGCAGCGCTCCTGCCACGCCCTTGGCCGCCTTCGTGGTGCGTGTCACGCTTAGAATACTCGAAGTGGAGAGGGAGTTGCTCGCTGGCGGTGAAGTGGCCATGGAGGTGTTGGCTGTGGAGTTGCGTATGACCAGAATGGACTGCGACTTCTCCAGACGCTTCAGGGTCTGCAGCACAAAGGGTGACTTGCTGTCGCTATTGCTCTCGGAACTAAGACTTCGCGAGGCCTGCAAATATTATAATTTATATATTAAGTAATAATTAGAAGAAGAGCTAGCATTGCTTACATGTTTTAGCATAAACGGCCGCTCCACTAACTTGGTTTGTGTGGCATTGGCCTGCTTGGAGCGCTCTTGAGCTTTTAGCACGCTCTCCAGCTGGCTGGCATTAATGGGAGTCTGCAGCAGAATGGTATTGCTGCTGGCCTCCTTGCTGTTGCCACTGGCCACAATGGAAATGGTGGAGTTACTACCGTTGCTGCTACTGCTGTTGCTGTTACTGGAGTTGCTGCCTCCACTCGAGCCTTGGACAATGGTCTTTCTAGCCACCGTTGTGGTCGTGGGCAGTTGATTGAGCGTGATGGCCGTGGACGAGTGGCTCTTCTCCTGCTGCTGCTCGTTGAGCAGGCTAAGTATGTCCTGCTTATTTTGGATGATGATCTGGCCATTTTCGTTGCGAGTGCCGCGCAGCAGGATAATGTTGCTGCCCCCGACTCCATTTGCAGTCTGATGCTGCTGCTGCTGCTGCTGGTGTTGCTGCTTCTGCTTCTGCTGTTGCTGTTGCATGGCCCCGATCTTGAGCTTGGCCGCTCGCAGAGTCGTCGTTGTACTGGATTTAGCTGATGCCTTTGTTGATTCAGCTTCATTGCTGCTTAACTTGCCGCTGCTCTGCGATCTGATCAGGACATTTCTGGAATTAACTTGGCCTGAGGCGAGGAGACAAGAAAGTGAAGTATAAATTACTATAATATTCTCTATAGGTCATAATAAAGTAATTAATAAGGGCTTAAAAATCAAAAAATAATTAAGAGATAGATTTATTTTATTTAAAAAATGTGTAAATTATATAGAAATCTTTAAGATCAGTGATATTTATCCTTCAAAGCGCAACCTCTGGGCCTTTAACTTTCAAATTAAAACTAAATAATAATTTTCCAGATTTTTAAATTTAAATATTCAACAATTTTACCTCAAAACAATCATAAAATAAATATAAACAAAATCTTCTTCAAGAACCCCTGATCATAAACCATATAAAAGACTTTTTTTTGCAACGTTTTGTTCTCGATTCCGAGACCACAGTCTTTGAATTGAGCAATTTACAGTGGCCTCAAAATCGCTGACAGGTCCCATTGTATGCAGATTCAATGGAAACTTCATAAGCGTCACAAGATTTATGACTACATCTCGATCGGAGCTTTGCCCCTTTTGGCATTTTTGCATTAGAAGCACCGCCCATGACAGACCAGGAGGCGCGGGTCTCTATTGTTGCTCTTTCCCAGGGCAAGCATTACGTATACGCCGCGTGCGGCAAGAGCGGTCAGTGGCTCCTCCGGACACTCTGTTTTGTTGGCCCACAAAATGGGGATAGTACGCTCTCGCTGGTGGTGCGGGCTGAGGGGAACTAAACGCTAAATCAAGCGAAAGACGACATGTTTATGGCAGGGACGAAGGACTACTTAGCCGAGCAAGCAACCCCAGCACAAAACGCAATAAAAGTGCAACAAACAAACAGTGAGTTTAGCAGCCAAGAAAGGGGGAGAAAGTAATGGGTGGACCGGAGTAAGGGTTAAGGGAAGGGTCGGTCTATGGTCCCTGGTCTCTGTCGCTGTCGCTGTCTCTGCCCTGCATGCGTTGCCAAATATAGACTCTCAAGGCTGAAGGCGACACGGAACGTAAAGTGCGCGCCGGAAACATTTCAAAATGTAGCCTAAACACTTGTCCGGCTCCCCTGAAACCTTCTATCTCCATCCCCCAGAATTTTTACCCCCATATGTGTGTGTGTGTGTGTGTGTTTGTTTTTCGCAAAAACGTGCGGGTCATAATTAGCCGTTGACGCCGCCTTCAACTGGCTGTTTTTCGGGGAAAACGCGGTAGGTGGAGTCAGCAGGGAGAGCGCCACATGCGACCATCTGACCCCAAGTGGACAAGTGTCTGTGCCCCTTCCATGTGTGCGAAAAGGTCGCCTGCCGCCAGGCAAAATAAACCGCCTGAATCGCGGACTAGGATCAGGCCAAAGAATAGGTGGGGAGATATGTATCCATCCCTTGGCTGGCCATCCATTCGGGCGCACATACTTCATTGTAATGTATGGAGCGGAGCAGCCACAACAACAACAAGCAAAGGATCCCGGAGATCAGGCAGCCAAGAGACGGGAGCCGGGAGCTGTCCGCGTAACACATAAAACACTCTTGGCCTGGCCAGGCGGCTGAAGCTTCGCATATTTTTGCGTTTGTCGCGGCTTTTGATGTGTAACGGCCCGGGTACAGTGGGTTAGGTTATATTTTAGGTAGGTCTGTATCATATTCAGGCATGATATTCCTTAAATTTAAACTCATTATACCCTTGCAGGGTATTATAATTTCAGTCAGAAGTTTGCAACGCAGTGAAGGAGACGTTTCCGACCCTATAAAGTATATATATTCTTGATCAGCATCAACAGCCGAGTCGATCTAGCCATGTCCGTGTGTCCGTCTGTCCGTCTGTCCGTCTGTCTGTCTGTCCGTCTGTCCGTCTGTCCGTCTGTCTGTCTGTCTGTCTGTCTGTCTGTCTGTCTGTCTGTCTGTCTGTCTGTCTGTCTGTCTGTTTCTACGCAAACTAGTCCCTCAGTTTTAAAGCTATCCGAATGAAACTTTGCATATAGTCTTCTATATGCTCTCACTGAACGGAACGGTAGATGTAGAGAAAATGTAAAACTGGAAATGTTAAACTGTAACTGTCAAACTGTAAACATAATAAGTATAGATAAAATGTAATGAAACTCTGTTTTGTGACTGTTTTCAGCATTTAAATCTATAATATAAACATCGAAACCAATCTGCAAGGGTATTCAAACTTCGGCGTGCCGAAGTTAGCTTCCTTTCTTGTTTTAAATTAAAATGTCACCTCCTTAAAATTGATTAAATTGCTACTTTTTAGTAGCATTTTAAATTTTTTTTCTATATTTTGCCCCACTGTTCCTTACCACGTGCTTGAAAAGGTTGATGGAAGAGCGGCAATAAAGGCAAGGGAATACAAAAGTTTCTGTGTAGCCGGACAAATTGCAAGTCTATTGAATTTTTATTAGAAGCATAAATCAAAAGAGCGTTAGATATGCCAGCCGTGGAGGGAAGGAGTTCGATAAATATGTCAATAGATTCTGCACATAAATTGTCGCCGAGAAGGGTTAAGAAAGAGGACAAATCAAAAAGCATTTTGGCTGGGGTTAAGTAAACACATCATCACTATCACATAGTGTTCATCATAATCAAGAAGTTTTTTGTTCTTTGCTTTGTAAATACATATCAAAGCTGAGTAAATAACTTTTGATACGTTATATCAATAATGCTGATAGTGATTCAGAGTCTAAAATCTAGGCTTATTTAGTGTAGTATTTGCTCTTGTGTTTGTTTTCTATGTTTATGAGCTCATTAAATGTTAATTATTAAAGTAAAATGTATATTTATATATTCAGTTAAAGTTAGTATAGTTTTACTAAGGATAATATCTAAATATATATTGTACTTTTAGAAAGAAGTTGTTAACCAAAACCTTTTTGCTTTAAATTAAACTGAACTAACGATCTAAAAGCGAAAAATAAAATATCGAAAATCTATTTTTAAATAATAACAAATTAAAAGTATATTTAAACCCTAGTAAATTTATTACTTCATTCTGATTTCCTTAATTTTTTAAATTGAATCCTAACGATTTTTAGAAAAGGCGTTGCCAGACTACTCCAAACTCCTGAAAACAGCTGATTCTATCTATAGGAATTTCCAATAAGCATCTCCCACCCACGAAATCCTCTTGTTAGACTCCCAACTATTTCAAAATCCTTAAAAATTAGGTCATTTCAAAAATGTCTCAATTTAAGACTGCAGCCACCAATGGGTTAATGGCCCAAAGAAACCCCCCAAAACAACGCGCAAAACAAAACGCAACGCGCAAAGCGAAGCACAACAAAACAACAAAAACTAATTGGAAAACCAATATGCGAGGAACGGAATTCGTAATCGAAGCACCTTATGCTTATCGTGTCCAGAATCGGGGGAGAGATACCACAGATATCTGGCATGCTATATAGGGGAGGGAGGCAGGGGGAGAAGGCACTTACTTTGGAGTTTCAGTGTGGAAGAGGCAGTAGAAGAAGAAGACAGAGACGAAGACGAAGCGCTGGAGGAAATATCGGGCACATTTTCCATGTGCGCTGCTGCCTCTGCCGTTGCCACAATTTTTAGAAATGCTTTTCAACTTTTTTAGCGGGTTAAATCGGGTTGGCACATTTTCAATTCGGATGCATTTCCATTTTTGCACACCAGCTCACACCCACACACGCACACAGCGAAGGCTCTGCAGGGCTCTCGGATATCGAAAAAAGGTAAACAAAACTTTTTCACTACGTCCGTGGGCGGCTGGGGGACGTTCTTCGTGCGGAATTCGATGCGTCCCTGCTGGCCGATGGTTTAAATGCAATAAAAAATCAATAATATCACCGTTTCACACACGAAATTATTAAAAAAAAACCATAGCGAAAATATTTTGTGTTACTTCAAAACTGTGACTGGCCAGAGTGCATGTCAAACTGTGTGCTAGTACTTTCCAACACTGGGGCCTTTTGGTGTTTAGCAATACAAATAGAAATCGATAATTCGGTCATCGTCAGCTGTTCTAGAGCGTTGCCACCTAGTGTAGGTTTGCTTGTAGCGGGAATTAGATTTGAATTTAATTTATTTGAATTTTAATAACTTGAAACGTATGGTGTTGAAGTGGAACATCAAATTTTCAGTTGAGTCCAAGGTTATTTAACTTATAGCAAAAGTCTTTTATTATATATAAACCAGCTGCAAAAGAAACAAACATAGGTTAATACATTTTGTAATAATTAAATAATTTTATTATTATTATTATTGTTTCACAATTAAATTGTATATATTTTTTATACACTAAGATTAATTTTATTATATTTTAAAGAGCTTGTCTGGATTTTAGCAAAATTGAAGAGGCTTATGTTATTGATTTTCCATTCAGTTTTTAAAGACTCTGGTTCTGCAGATATTTCTATAAACAAAAAGAAATACAAAAATTATATATTATTTTTAATTTGAAGATATTGTTGCTAGAAATATAAAATCATTTCCTTTTCCTAGAAACGATAACCCTTGCCCGCCCAAATTTTCCTGCTGCAAGCTCACTTTCGCCGAACTTTCCTTGAATTTTGCAGCCCCTTTCAGGCCCCCACCCCCTTCCACCCAGCTCGCCCCGCACCGGCGGAAGTCTCGGGCTCTATCAACGGGCGGCGACCAAGCGAACACAGAATAATTGCTGTGTGCCAGTGCCAGTCGGTGCCAGTGTGTAATCGACGACAACACATAGATAACTCGGCACTGCTGCTGCTGGGTTGTTATTTTATTGTCGCTTTTGTTGCACATTGAAAATAATACACAAAATAATTGAATTACTCGAAATGTGAGAAAGAGCGAGAGAGGGAGGGACCTGCGCTCGTGTTCGCTGCTTTTATTGGGGGGCGTTCAGGGCTCCTCTGATAAGCTCTGATCATCAACCTAAACGAGATAAGCGCTGCTCATTTGCATTCCACAGTCGAAATTCCATGAAGTGAACCCAAAGTTTGGATAAAGACAAGAGTTTATTATACATATGCACTTTTATCAGCATTTTGCGTGAAATCAAAGTTCGTTTATGTATTTTAGTATTTCTTTCATTCAATTCTTGGCAAAGTTGTATCGTTCATTTATTTTTCATTCACAGTTTTAAAAACATGGTTTGACATAAAGAAAAACAGCAAGATTAAGTTTTGTTTTCGTAGGCTCAAATTGTTTTTTTAACCATTTTTAATTGTTAAAAGATTGTAAACAATTTGAATCACTTTGAATATGATCTAATGTAAATATAATTATGAACTATTCATTACTCTTTTGTGTATTAAGCTAAGATTTATCAAAAGAGCGCAATTGGAAAATGTAAATTATACTTTTGAACACGTTCATGGACTCTTCACTCTCTTCAATTTTTGTTTTAAGCTATATTTAAAACGTGAAAATGTCATAATATTCAAATTCCTAAAGTTTCAAGTTCCTAAACTCAATTTCTAGTACTACAGTCCTATCTATTGGGTTTTTTGTTTGGGGGGTTTTCTTGGATTTTCGTCAAGTGTGCTTTTTTGTCGCAACAACGACATGTGATAAGGAGTATGTGCATGGGGAATCGGAAACGTGACTCTCGGCTGGGGCGGGCATCGGCACGTAAATTATGCTGATGACACCGGCTCCGCACCCAGGCCAGGCCAGACCAGGCTCAAGCTCAGAAAGCTCGCGAAGCAGCGACGATTGCGCTTGAAAAATTGAAGAAATACCAGCACGTTCCTACGAGCTGCAGAGAGCAGCAGAGCAGCAACGAGAATAACTGGCTCCGGTCCCGGCTGCCATTTGATCGCTGCACACAAAAATATTTACAATATACCATTTAATGACATTTCGCCTTATAATAAAACAGTGTGTAAAAATTGATTTTTCTGGTTTCATGCATTTTATTTGGTTAATTGGGCCTTTGAACTCTATGGGGACGCTGATGAAAACGACGCCAAGATAAAGTCATGCGCTAAACTTGATTTAAGACAAAGCGGGCCTCGACGTTCCTCCTCCTTCTGCTCCTCAACACATACCCGCGTCCGCTGTCAACGCCCCCTTGGCGGCGATAACAATTATAAAAATACTCCAATCAAAATGCAATTGCGAATTTTTTAAGGCTATTATGGCTTGCAAATAAGGGGGCGTTGTGACGCCCACACACAATATTACTGGTTAGGATCGCAAGGATTGTTATTTCGATAAGACACCGACTTTTTCCTCTGTGTAGATGTAGATGCACGGGTCACCTTGTGGCTGGACAGGAAAAATGTCTCAATGAATAGCCATTCCAGGCTTTTCCTTTCGGCCGGCGGATAGCCAACTGGTAATAAAATTGCGGCGGGAGAGAGAAAATGCCAATAATCGCTGTGGCAGCAACTGCGAAATGCAATATCGGCAGTCAGCAGCGCAGCGAGCGGCCTCTAACTGTAAATGGCCAATATTGAGCGGGAGAGCAAGAGGCCACAACAGGAGCTTTGGAGGCTGAGAGGAAGCGAGAGATCAGAGTGCCCAGAAAGCGGGTGTGGGAATCCAGTGGCAGGTTAGTGTAGATGTAGATGTAAGATGGCAACGATACGACAAGGAGAGTACAGGGGGACAAAAAGTATATAGTTGGAAAACTACAAAATAACCAATTAACCGAAATTTATTATTATAAATTATAAAAAATATACATATTGGAATTTCTAAGTGCATATTTTACAGTGAAATTGTTATACCCTAAAAAAACTTATTTTTTTATAAATTTATTAACATAACATCGTAAAAAATATACTTCTCAAATTTTTTTTTCTGTGTATTGTTTCACTGCAGTTGCCTATAACCAAATATTCATTTATTTGCTAATGCCAGAAACTATTTGAGGTATTTAAGCTTTCACGCCAATTTAATTTGCTAAGTAACGTTTCCGCTCCATGGTGCCTGCATCCAAACCGAAACTCCAATTGCAGTTGTCACACACTCACAAATATACATATACTCACACACACACACACACACACACACACACACACACACACACACACACACACACACACACACACACACACACACACACACACACACACATATTCCTTTATGTCAAGCCGGTTTTTGGATCGCAGAGGGGGAGGGGCCACGGCCCAGGCAGCGCTCAAAATGTGGCAAAGTGAAAAAGGAAAATGTGTACTGGAAAAATGCAAGGCATGCAACAAAACAATGGCCAAAGCCAACAACGACAACAACAAAGCTAGACGGCAACGTCGATCATCGAAATCCTGGTACATTATTATACGGTCAACTTGGGGAACCAGTTTTTATTGCAATTTGATTTCAAGCAGCCAAACAACACCAGAAATTACGTATCACAAAAATAAAATATATTTTTCTCGTTACTGCTGATGCTGCTTCTTCTTCATCTTCTGCGGCTAACAACAAAAACAACAGCAGTGGCTTTGTTTTTACGTCAGGCTGGGATTACACACTCACACAGAGATCTAAACTAAACCACCAGTTTACATGTGTGTGTATATGAGAGAGCACTTGCCCACCTGTTGTTTGCAATTTTCAATTTTCAGAAAGCTTTTCGGTGGAATCTCAAGACAGCGCCGTATGTTCTGGCAATTGTGGAAAAATCACATTTCTGGCAAAATGTAAAACAATTGAAAAGCAACAGGTAAACAAGCAGAAATACCCCACACGCACACACACAACAAAGCTGAGGCGGACATATGTTTGTATGGGGAGTGAAGCTCCAAGCTCCGAAGCTCCGCAACCGCAAAAGAGAAAACTGCGGCCGATCACCTACGCTGGAAAAAATGGGTCTAATGAGTACTTACGGTTTCAAGTGCAAATGCACTTATTTTTTTTTTAAATATATATAAACAAAATTAATAATATAAACCCACAAGTAATATTGAAATTCCATTTTATTTACTCAAAATCTTTAATTTAAATTAGAGCAACTTCATATGACATATGTTAAAAGTACTTGTTTGAAATAAGCATTACAACACAAAATTCATATGGCGTAGGGCTTCCACCTGCCTCTTGCTGGCCGAACACCTGTACCATAACTAGTTTTACATCTGTAGCCGACCAGGGCTGCTCTGCAGCTGCAGCCCTGGCGCTGCAGAGCCCCCGAGGAGAGCAGAGCCGTGTTTTGGTTTCAGTCTCTGGACTGCTGGGCGCGTGATCGGTAAATCGAAGTAGCGGACCGTGAAGGTGCAGAGGATATTACACTCGACAGTGGTTGGTGTTGTTGTTGCTGCTGCTGGCTTAACGTAATTTCGCAAAGAGGGACTGAGAGCGCCGAGCCATCATCCTTGTCCTCGCGTGTAACTAAAAAATAAGAAATAATATAAAACTGTGCCGTCGTCGCATCAATTGCACTAATTTCTTCAATCAGCGGACAAGGCGAGCATAACGAAAGAGCAGAGTGAAACTAGCGAAAATTGTTTAACAGTCAGCAAAGTAAGTGAGCGATTAACAAAGCCCAAGCCGCGCTTAAAAATCAGCAAAGCGATTTGCGTTTGCATTTTAAACGTTTGTTTGTCTTACACGTCATTTTCTGCAGAGTCATTAACGAAAGGCAGGTCAAGAGAGAGAGAGAGAAAGAGTGGGAGTGGAAAATGAGATGAGGAAAATGAGACAAGAGAGCCAAGCATGAAGGTAGAGAGAGCGGAGGAGCGAGATCAAGACAAAGTCTTTGTTTAGCTGGAAATTTGTTTAATGGCACTTGAAAAAATTAAAATTACAAATCACCACTGCTCCGCTCTCTCTGACAACGTCTCCGCCCCCGCCTCCCTCTCTTTGCCTCTTCTGATATCCGCCAGTCAATCTTTACAATTGTTTATCTCTCGCGCGCTCTCCCACATGCGCGCTTGTGTGTGTGAGTGCAAGTGAATTAAACGAAACGACTTGAAAAAGTTGGAGCTGGGCTTTTTTGTTGTGTT